GGGGGTACTTCGACAAACCAATGACTTCGGTACATTTCGGTTACGTTCGGTAATATTCGACGCGTGCAGTCGTGCAGAGAGCAGATGGTTCCACACTACCACATAACCTGCGTCTCTCACGTATATACCGAACACTTCCGAGTACGCTCGGAATTAGCCGAAGTCATACTAGTGCTCCTACGCCTATGGCAGCTCCCCCTTTGCCGCTATTATTTGTTACCCCGCGTACAACGCTCCGTCCATGTATTCTTAGGTCCATGGGTACTCTCAGATTTAGGTTAGGTATACAAGTCTGTGGTAGTAACAGTTTTGTAACCTCTATAGTGACAAACTTCTACGATTAATATTTCGCTTCCTGATGCAGAGCGACGCTTTTAACTGCCAGATTCTTTCATGCAAAAACGCGTCGAATGAGCATAATTTCAACAAGTTTTGAGGTGCTGCAGCTTCACTGAATAAATACCCAAAGAAGAAAAAATGAGTTTTAAGACTGCTAAGGAAGTTATAGAAGATGGAGACATTGTTATTTTGTATTTAAGTCCAAACAATATGCATTCTTTGGAAGTAAAAGCGAAAATTTCTAATAAGAAAGGCAAAATCATAGATAATGTGTTCAATACTACATATGGTGCATTAAGAGTTATATCGCTCATTGGTCAAAAATATGGTTCAAAAGTTAAGTTGACTCGAGGATGGGCATATGTGTTACAACCAACGCCAGAGCTTTGGACGTTGATACTGCCTCACAGAACTCAGATTATCTATAGTCCAGACATAAGTCTCATTATACATTTAATGGAACTTAAGCCAGGAAGCATAGTAATTGAAACAGGTACAGCATAATATTTATTGAAAAAAAAGATCTTTATTTTATTCATAATCTGTTTTAGGTACTGGAAGTGGCTCTTTATCTCACTCATTAATTCGAGCGATCCGTCCAAATGGTCACTTGTATACCTTTGATTTTCATGAACAACGTGTCTCTATTGCTAGCGCAGAATTTAAGAAACATGGTTTGAATGATTTTGTAACGTTGAAGGAAAGAGATGTTTGCTTAGAAGGATTTGGAGAAGAGTTAAAACATAAAATTGATGCAGTATTTTTAGATCTTCCACATCCATGGTTAGCTATAGAACATGCTACTGTTGCTTTAAAAAAAACAGGTAAAATTCTTTCAATTTGCTCTTTTATTTAAACCAAATTTTGATTTGTAATATTTTCTTAGGACAAATATTTTAATATCTGTACAAAAATACATTGGAATAAACAATACATAAATATATATAAAGATATAACACATGTATTGCATGGAATTATATAAAAGTTACATTTGCTAATATATTTATTATAATAATACAAAGCATGATATAGAACAATTTTTATCCAATAGGTGGAAAACTTTGTTTCTTTTCTCCTTGTATTGAACAAGTTCAACGTACTTGTGCAAAACTGATTTGTAAAGGATTTATAGAATTACATACATATGAATGTTTGCAAAGAGAAATGAATGTTCAATATAGAACTTTGCCAGTATTAGATTTGGAGTGTTTGAAATATAAGGTTGGTATATTTTATTATTCTATTAAAAATTTTATTTATATGAGACACAAAACTAAAAAAATTAAATAATATAAATAACATATTAACTTATATATTATCTAAAATTATTATATCAATATAAATATTATATTGAATTTGATGGAATAATGGAACGTACTATTACTAAATATAAGATTTAGCTTTTTAAAACTTTTCGTATAAAATCTTTTATTCAATTTTCTTGTAAGATTTCATGTGAGTTTCTTTAATCTAACAATAAGCTAAGCTCTTAGATTTTAAAACATTAAAAAAATTTACATTAATTTTGGATTTCAAAGAATCTTGAATAATATACAAAGTGGTACATTTATAATGAAAAATATAGAAGACACAGAAAACTGTTTCAGACAAAAGTTGTATGGTCTGAAGAAGAATAAATATTGAAAAAATTAATTTTTGAAAAAAAAAATCAATTTTTTTTAAGTTATGTGAAGATTATAACAATTTTTTTAAATGGAATTATATTATTTTTTACAAAATATGATTCCTTTAATTATACCGCATATAAAAGTACAATATTAAGTATTAGAAATAATTTTTTGATAATTTTACCTAATACTTTTATATGCAGAATAATTAGAGGAATCATATTATGTAAAAAATTGTCGTTAAAAAAATAGCAATGACCTTCATAAGATATTAAAAAATTGATTTTTTTTAAACTTAATTTTTTAAATATTTGTCATTCTTCAGACTGTACCACTTTTGTCTGAAACAATTTTCCGTGTTTTCTATATTTTCGAGATATTTATATTTTTCATTATAAATAGACTACCCCCCATAAAACTGGAAAAATTTTAATTCTATTATAGCACGCAAATGAAGATATTATACACAAGAATGGAAAAAGGAAACAAGAAGAAAAACTTCTTACAGTTTCTCACGCTCACTCATTACCTGGCCATACAGGTTTTATTACAATTGCTGTTCTTCCTCCTAGTTATGCGCGTAAATAAAAAGAAGAAATAAATTTACAGTATAGATTATGAAAATGAATAACCGAGATATTTATTTTTCATTATATAACATTCATTATATTACATAAACGGACTACCCTGTAAAAAAGATGGAAAAATTTTTATTCTATTATAGGACGCAAATGAAGATATTGTACACAAGAAATGAAAAAAGGAAATAAGAAGAAAAACTTATGGTTTTTTCACGCTCTTTATTTCCTGGTCATATATGTTTTATTACAATTACTGTTCTTTCTCCCAGTTATGCGCGCAAATAAAAAAAAAAGAAATAAATTTACAATATAGATTAAGAAAATAAATGAACGATTGGAGAATGCAAAACTAAAGTACACTTAAGTGTGCATTTAAAGTACCAGTTAAATAAAATTCATAAATTAGTTTTGTTACCATCTTAAAGAGAAATTTTATAATTTTAGAAATTTAGGAACTATTTCTATTACTTGTACCAACAAAAAATTTTTTTTGGAGATTAAATATTGGTGACATGGTATCTTACAAAATATTCTGTAAATCATAAAGTATAAAGTTAAAATATAAAAAAAATGAAAAACTGAAAACTGCTACAAAACAGATTTAATTATTTGCATTTATTAATTATTTTATACGTCTGCTTTATTTGGATTCCAACTAAGATAATCAACTCGAGTCGCAGCCTGATATTCCTTCACTAAATATTCTACAACCTCTCGCGAGTTGTCCAATTCATCAAGATTATCTTCGAACATTTTTTCTTTACGGAATTGTTCCAAAAATGCTTCACGTTTACGCAATTTGTCATATTGTTGTAAGGCCCTATCAAACAGCTAAAACAATTTATCAATAAATTTAAATTTAAATATCGCAAAATATATATTGTGCTATGATATATAATAATAATTTTTGATAATTTAAGAGCCAAAACACTTACCGATGATATATTAGTATGATTAGCTAACATTAAACCAGAAACGCGATGTGTACTTTGTATATAAGGAGATTTTCTTGAAAGAGCTACTTGTATACTAGCAGGACCCCAAGGAATAAACTGAGTAAGCTTTCGTTCTCTGATCCTTTGTAAAGATTTGTGCACTTGTGTCGGATCTACCTCACCCTAAAAATACATTATTTATTTTATAACGTGTGCGCGCGCGTGTGGTGTGGCGTGTGGTGTGTGTGTGTGTGTGTGTGTGTGTGTGTACAAATGGTTGAATGGATTTAAAAAAAAGTGTAGACACCAAGATCCAACCATGACTGTAAAAGACTCTATCTTACTCTCAAATTTATTTATAAAGAGTATTTACTTTTTCATTTTATCTTTATATACAAAATAAGATAAATTGATATAAAAAAATACAATAAAATTGATATGAAAAATACACAATAAATTAAATTTGAGTAAACGAATTTTTTAAACATATATTTAATCTTTAATCCTTTCAATTTCCTAAATTGTTTAACTGTTGAAAAAATATATAATTTTTATGCATATTATGTAACAAATAAACAATTTATAATTTATATTTGTGAATATGTTTGACTTTTTTATAGAGTATTCACTTTTTCATTTTATTTTTATGCACAAAATATAATCAATTGATATAAAAAAATACACAATAAATTTGTTTGAGTTTGAGTAAACGAGTTTTTTTAGCAAAAATTTTACCTGAATTATATTTAAAATCGATATATAACAATGAGATGCGTTTCTGTCTAATGCTGTAGAAACCATCATATTTTTTGGTTGTAGCAATCGTCGCATCACATCCAAGACAGATGTTTTTCTCACAGATGCACCCTGTTTTTCAATAATTTTCATAAATATAGACATACATACACAATTTTCATTATTCAAATATCAAAAAATAAATATTTTGAGATATTTAATATTCTATTCTGACATAAAGTGTAAAATAAATAATAATGCATTCATTTTAGATGTTATATCTTAATATTTTTATATTAGAATAATGATACTCAAAATCAGTGAGAATCAATTAATATGAAGAAAATATAATTATATTTAAAAATAGTTAGCAATGTATATTTGTATCATCTGTGAATATATTAAATATGTAACTATATATACATATATATACTACTTAATAAATAAAATTTAAAATTAAATACTTTTTAGACTAAATATAAAATAAGAATAATAATCATAAGAACATACAGTCACGAAACTAATTGTCCGAACAGTGCATCAATATATCAATGATTTCTTTAAATTGTTTTTGTTTGTCGTTTTTCTAACTGTTAACAATTAGTTCCGCATATTACGGTGCTAGTAGTTCATAACTAGTTGTTCAAATATAAACAATATCCGGAAAATAGTTTGAAGAAATCATCGACAATAGTACTGTCCACACAATTAGTTTTATGACTATCTTATCGTCTCGAACATATACAAAGACAACATCTGTTTGGTGTATTTTCTTTTGAATAAACGCGGTAAAAAAAGTGTATACTTTAAAATACTTTTACGTAATGATAAATATAAAAAATAATAATAAATTAATTAGTGTAGAGAAAAGTTTCTCTTAAAAAAAAATTTTATATTTATAATTTTTAATTTTTTGTATATATCGTGCATCTTTTTTTGTTCAGCAACTGTCTTTTCTTTACAAATTGACTCATTATTGTATACATAAAAGTATTGAAATATAGTTGCCAAAAAATGAATAATTTGCTAGATATTTTATGTTAAAATGTGTCAAAATAAAGTATAAAATATCTCGTGAACTATTGATTTTTTGATAATTCTTTTATACCCTCATATTCTTTTTGATAACATTTTTATATGCAAAATAACTAGAAAAATCATATTATGTATGAAAAAAATCATACAATTCGATTTAAAAATGCGATGACTTTCATGTCACTTTAAAAAATTGATTTTTTAAAATGTACTATTATTTGCCTTTCTTCAAATCACATAATTTTTGTCTGAAACATTTTTCCAAAAATGCTTATTTTTCATGATAATCGACACTTAAAATAAAACACCCTGTGTCTGTAAATGCACGCACCTATGTGCATATATTTTTCAATATGCAATTAAATTTTATCCTTTCTAATATTATCATAGATACCTCTTGATCTGTTGTAAGTGGAGTATATCCAGTCATCAGAAAATGTAAGCGAGGAGTTGGTATGAGTGGTGCAATCAAACCAACTAAATCATTGTTCATGTACGAAGGATATCTCAGAGTGGTTGTACTGACAGACATTATTGTTGAAACAAGCTTATTAATCTGTGTGAAGCTCGGATTCTGGATATGTAATCTGTCTGAAGCAATTCTATTCAAAGCAGTGTTATCTAAGACTACCACACAATCTGCACATTGAGTTAGTCTCTTCAAAGTTAACAACGAGTTATATGGTTGTACTACAACATCACTGTAACAAAAAATATATTAATATTCACATTACATGAAAATTTACATAAAAAGCTTCTTAAATTAATATTTACCTTATTTCATCCTGATTTGGAAAAACGCTGTATGTCTCGATTAATTTTTTGGGAAATCTATCAGCAAGAGATTCCAACATAAAAGATCCCATACCAGAGCCTGTACCTCCTGCTATAGAATGGCACAAAACAAAACCCTACACAAATTCCATGATTTAAAAAAAAACAAGAAATATTCTTATTATAGATTTCACAGATAGATTAAGCTCGCATATTACTGCAAATAAAATGTAAGAATAATATAGTTACTTCTAAGCTATCACTACCATCAGCTTCTCTATCTAAAATATCAAAAATTTCTTCCTGTAATTTTTCACCCTGATGGTATCCAGATGCCCAGTTATTTCCAGCACCACCACCGTGTTTTGATAAATAGATATTTTCAGGATTATACAGCTTAAAACAAAATAAAAAAATTTTATTTTCCAACGTCAAATGGTATAAATATAACATATATTACCTTCGAGTATGGAGAATTCATGATAGTATGAATTACTCTTGGTTCTAAATCTAATAAAACAGCTCGTGGTATATAATGCTCATCATCTGACTGATAAAAAAAAACATCCTTCCTATCCATTCCTTCTGTTGCATAATCTTCCAAAATTCCTTCTGGACTAATACCATGCTCCGCACATAGTCTTTTCCAAAATTCAAATCCAACTACAAAAATAAACAAAGTAAAATGTAAGTATACAGACATATAAACATATAATCTAGTTATGAAAAATTTTGTATATAAAGCTATACAATATTTTAAGTTTCGTAAAACTCTGATTTTAGTTATCCAAAATTGCTAAAATTAAAGAAAACCACACAGCTATTGAAATTATGTTACTTTTATGTCACTGTTTGAATTTATATTATTCTTTAAAATTTATGTTTGTTAAATTAAAAGAGGCATCAGCAAAATAAAATGTAACTTTTATTTACTTTGATTGCCGCATTGGCCAAGTTGCAGAGTTATCATCTCACACGGCATTTTTTTAGATTAAAAGCTTTTCGTCGGAAATCTAAGAGAAAAAAACTTCACAATTGATGGCAAGAGCGCCAAAATAAAGCCGTTTCTGCCGTATCTATTCACGCAGCCAAAAATAAATAAACACTCGTAATTATAGTCAAAAATTATATCAGACGAGACCGGCAAATTACTAGAAATTATTCGCGAGTGTAATTTGAAGGGGCGCCTTCTGGTGAGGTGTAGACAAATCACTCTAAAAAGAATAAGGCTGCGTTCCCACTGAGCGCGTCACGCGTCGCGTCGTCCGTCGCGTCACGATTAATTGACCAAAATATTCCATTTTATTGCATGATTTGCCGCGTAACTTCTTGCAAGACGCATCAATTAGATTA